AAATTTACATAAATATAATATATAAAATTTATATATAAATTAATACCTATTTATATATATATACTTAATTTATTTCTCTCACTATATGCGCAAAGGGTGACTCATTTTGGAGGAGAAATAATACTTTTGCTTCTAAAGTTGTCCATTTGGCACAAAAGTAGCGTTGATATCAAAGAGAGAACTTTTATTCATTGGCCCACATAAATATCGTAGGTAGATTGTAACAGGAGATAATCAAAGGCTCCTACCCCGACAACTCTTTTGCGAGTTGGATAGATGTTCCGTGTACTAGCCAAAGCCTTACGTCTGTCCGGTGGAGATCATATTCACGTTGGTACAGTACTAGAGGCGTAAACCTGCACTTTTAACTCTTTATTTCATTAAATTTAAAGATTTACAGTACTAGAGGCGTAAACCTGCACTTTTAACTCTTTATTTCATTAAATTTAAAGATTTTAATTTTTTATCTTATATTATAATTTTTTTAATCTTTTACTTTATTATATTTATAAGTTTTAACTCATTATCTTATACTATAATATTTTTAATTCATTACTTATTAAAATTAAAAAAAGTAACCCTTCTTTTGTAATATTTTATTAATTTTATTAATTAACTGTTAACTCTATTAATTGATTATTAGTTGACTGTTAATTATCAAAAACCTTCTTTCAGCTAACAAAATTAACAGAATTAATTTTATAATATTTTATTAATTATGTTACTTAACTATTAATTGACTGTTAATTGATAAAAATATATTTTTAATTAACAAAGTTAACAGTCAGTATAAAGTAAATGTTATTTTCTTCGATTTTAATAGATGAGAAGTTAAAATCTATAAATTTAATAAAATATGAGATTAAAAGTGACATAATATAATATAAAGAATTAAAACCTTTAAATTTAATAAAGTGAGGAGTTAAAAATACATTTTTACCGATGGATGGTGGGTGTATAACCATATATACCCCAACATCCATATGCCTTAGTAACGTGAATTTATTATTATTATTATTATTCTTTTGTACACAGTCATAAGTAATTGAGCGTAACAAGTTGGATAGATGGTGGTAACTGGTAAATCTCCTTTTTATTTTTTATTTTGTTTTACACAACCAGAAGTAGTTGAGGGTAATAAAGAGGAGAGGTGCACACGGATTGAATATTAACTTTAGGCCTCAAATCTAAACTCGGTTGAAGTGCTAGTAGGAGTATATTAAAAAAAGGAACAAGCTTCGAGGATAAAAACATGAAGAAAAAGAAAAACTATATTGATTAATATATATTTTGATTTAATATATTATATAATATATTTATTAAAAATTATTATTTTTTAATTTAAAATTAAAAATAAATAATTTTAAAATTTTTTATAAATAATATGTGTAAAAATTATTTATGATTTAATCTTAACTTAAAATAAAAAAATATCATCAATAA